TTTCTGAAGTTTACTCGACTGAATTTTCCTGTTTGAAATCAGCTTGATTGGAATGTCTCACCTGGCACACGTGAAATGTTACTGCAGAGTTCACTGAATTTTCCACTGAAATATACTGCAGAGTTCAACTGAATCAGTTTCACACCGGAGAAGTCTTTTCCAACTGTTAATTTTTCACTGCGCCGATTCGGCTTCACTTCGCTCATGAGAGCATTTACCCCACCCTTCACCCCCTGCACCTTTTCTTGTTTTTCTTTTCTTTGCCTTTTCGTTTGTTCCTTCCTTCAGGCTTTTTAGGTATTTTCCAGGCTCGTTTAGTCAACGCACGCCCTGCCCGCCCCCGCACCCCCTGCACCTTTCTCTTCTTTCCTTGCCTTTTTCGTTTGTCTTGTTCTTTGCTTCAGGCTGGTTAGGTGGCATCCAGGCTCGTTTAGTCAATGCACGCCCGAACACCCCTTCACCCCCCTGCCAAAAAAAAACAGGAGAGAGAGAAAAAAAAAGAAGAAGAAGAAGACGAAGAAGAAAAGAAAAAGCAAAAGAACACTGCGCCGCGGCGCTACGACCACGGAGAAACAACTTTGATCCACTTGCTCAGGTGTCGCTTCGAGGAAAAGACGATCCGCCAGCAGAGTTACCTTTCTAGTTGCGCCGTGCTCGGCTCATTGCGCGTGTCCACTCCTGTTTCCAAGGACACTACTCTAGCTATTTCTATTCCTATGACTTTTCAGACCTTGTACAGTAGCCGGGGGTGGTAGCAAGGCAGAGAGTCTACCACCAACGAAGACGCTCTCTAAGCCTTGGTGATACTGGGACTGATCATCCCAGCGTACCTGCACAATTCAATTTTTTAATCTTCAGTCATTCGATGTTTCAACAATTCTGTTCGACCGACCCAGCACTTTCTTTTCAGTCAAGTGCTAAGTATTCACTTAAAGGGCTAATGCACACCGCGAAGCAGCCTGAAATCGCGCTCCACGGAGCAACCTTCTCAAGTGTGTATGAGCCCCTGTCTGTGTGTGTATGTCCATGTCTGCGCAGGCCTCCCAAACCCCCCACCGGCGGCCAAGCGGTGACAGCCCAGCTCATCGTCGTGAGCATTTGGGCTGCTGGTAAGGGGAGAAGCAGCGTGCACAGCTGCAGGGAATCTCACTGAAAAAAGCGAGTTGGAATGAACACAGAAAATGCTGAGGCAGCCACGCCAGAAGTGTCTCGAAGCAGTGACCTGTCAGAGGAGATACGTCCATTCATATACGATCAGAGCTAACGTTTCCTTCGCTCCAGGACGCAAAGCGTTT